TACCTGTTGACAAATGATTTGATAAACATTTTTTTGACAGGTTTTTTCCCAACATTTTGGTAGAAAATTCATTTCTGCCTAGGTGGCCTGCTTTTATATCATATGTTAGTATCCTTTGAAGTGGTTTTAACATATTACTATTTCTTTGATTAAGCAATTGTCACACTAAGCTTTACAGATTCTAAAAGATTACTTTTGGGAAACTTTATTTCATTTCATAACATCTGTTTATTAAACATCTCAAGCAAAGTATTGAATATTCAATTGACTTATTTCGGTTAAGGTAATGTACATTATCTAATTAATGCTGTCTAATGGTCCTAGCTTTTTTAACAATCAAGAGGCTCTTGTCCCAGTAAAAGATTAATTGGGAAATGGAAAATATGCCATTGATCTTGTGACTTATCAACATTTTTTGCCGTGTGTATGTGTGTGAGTGACATCTCAACCAGCTTGGCCGATGACTGGGATGTCCTAATGGTCTTTTGCCTCCTGTAACTGACTGATGTTTGGCACACACACTTCCACACACTCACACTCGCCACACAGCGACGCCATAATTAATGATGAAAAATTGCTACCCACACACACACTCCCACACACACCAGCTCGCACACACACTTGGACACTCAACATATGCAACAGAAGGAAGAAATGAGAGGTGGGGGGAAAAATATAAAGCCATTTGGTTTTGTACGCTGGAAATTAACATGAAAAGGGCAAAGCGCAGCTGCCATTCGCGTTTGGCCGAATATGTGAGATCGGTCCAAAATGCCCCCGAAAATCCCAACCCAGAGTGGTCAACGCCAGAAGGTCGCCCGGAAACAAGAAAAAAGCGCCGGAAAAACCCCCTCTGAAACACATAAAGTGGCACACTAAAGCTGCGAGCTTGGCAAAGTGATTAAATTGAGTTAATTATGTCCACCGAGAGAGAGTGTGTTAGAGCAAGACAAATACGAGTTTGAAGTTGTACATAAATTATTACAAGGATATTAAATGCGGCGCACAAAACAGGGGGGATTACCCAAGTATTAAGTGCATATTATCAAAGGCCGTTAAATGCCAGAAATAAAATATTTGGCCTGTGTGAAATTGCTTTAATCAACCCTTAATCTTCATTACAAAAAACCACTTTGTCTTTGTTAAATCTTTCCAAAGTTGTTTCGGTTTACATTTTTATTTTGCGTTTCCCTAAAATATTTCGCATTTGAAAAGCATTTGGCATCGGGGGAGTGAGTTGCCATTTCGATTGAGTTATGTCGCGAAAATTTGCCTTACGAAATCGAACTTCTATCAAAGTTTATCAAAGCCAAAACATTTAATGGCTGTGCAAAATGTTTCCACCATTTTTTGCTTATCCCTTTGGACCAGCCAGCTTTTTATTCGCATTTTTTATTTATTTTGTTTAACGAGTAGTATGGTGGCCCGGCTCTTATCTAAAAACCCGTTAAATTTATTATGCAACATTGCGCGCGGGTGGAAAATGCGATTTCTCATTCGATACAGATTCAGGTAAACATTCGCAGTGTGTGTCCAGCAAATAAATAAAAGCGAAAATTTTCTGCTGGCGCGTGTAACGCGAAATAAAAACCGAAAAACATTAACAAGCGGCGGCGAGAAAAAAATGTAACTTAATTGCCAAACACACATGCACGCACACAAAAGGGTGTTGTTTTGTGTCGTGCTGGCTGTTGCTGTGGTTGTGTTTTCCGCGGAGCCTTTTCCGGGGGTCGGAAAATGGGGCGGACCTTTCTGCTCTTGGCGTGCGTGCGCCGTGCGATATAATTTATGTTTCAATAACTTTCGAAACTCATTGAAAAGTCGCTTATGTTTGCTTCAATGGCAGCAGCAACAACAACGCGCACAAGAAGAATGCTAAAAGTACAACAATAAATTGTTTGGATTTACTTATGCGAAGGGGGAGGTGAGTGGGTGGTGTGTGGGTGGCTGGGTGCCGTCCTTTTCTTAGCCGGCACTGCCATTTCCCATTTTACTCAATTTTTTATTGTTGCTGCACTTGAGCGACCCCGCTTTTGTCTTTTCACCCGCAAGAAAATTCCCGCTCAACTTGCAAAAGTTTTTCGCTATTTTCCCTCTCATTCCGTTTCTGTGAATGTGTTTTGTTTGCCATTTGCTTTCATTTTGTTTTTCCCCGGCTATTGCCTCCCTTTTTTTGAATTTTTTTCTCCTTCTGCCACTGTTGTTCATTTTGTGCTCTTAAAATTTATTTGCAAGTTTTCTAATTTGTATTTCACTCCATTTTATTGTAATATACAATCTCATTTGAAGTGAGATATCTCAGGGCATCTATCTAACGCAGAAAAGCACAAGTACAACAGGGAAAGGGATGAGTACAGAGAACGAAATTTGATTGATTGGAGTAAATTCTAAATATACAAAATATAAAGGAGCGAAACTTATAAAATACAATATGCTTTGAATATTAAAAGGCAAATTTATGATCGAATGAAAATATGTCTGTATCAAATGTATTTCCTTCTAACTTGAAAACTTCTAAAAAAGTCATAAAATTACAAATAACATTCCTTTTAATGTTGGCCATTAAATTAAGCCCTATTTGGTTACCTATCATTACATTACATTACATTACATTTGTGTTTAATGCAAACATGAAAAACCCCAATATAATGCTCTGATTAAAGTATTACAAAATCGATACTGTCCTAGTAGTTAAGATGTTTGCCTAACTCTAATTGTGAACTTTCTTCTGAGTACATTATTTTTTCCCATGTAACAAGTCAGCGGAGGTGGCCTAAAAGTATGCAATGCCTGCTGATGGCTGATCCTAGCGGTGTATCCTTGTTTCCTGTTTCGGGACTGGGGCGCATATTTATTAACCACACTGTTGATTCTCGCTGCGGCAACTTTGCGTGCAGCTTGTTGCTCCTCTGTGCCCCTTTTCATCCTCTTTATCCATACCCGTCTTCCGGTTTTGAATTTTGTTGTCGCACCTTCTCAGGAATTCTGTTTACATTTATTACTTTGCGCAAGTTTAAGTGAAAAATTTCCATAAACATTCTTTTAAGCGACATAAAGTTTTTATTAAATTTTGCTAGAAATCCCTGACACGATGATATCAGGCAACAACGGCAACGGCAGCGGCAACGGCAACAAATAGAGCTGCGGAATTTACAACTACCAGAGGGTAGAACACCTGCCACCCCGAGTTGCCTCCTTTCAAGATACTTTTCCAAGGGTCGGTGGTGGTTCGGTGTTCAGTGTTCGGTGCTCGGTGTGTTGGGGAGGCGAAGTGCCAACTGTTTTACTGTTGGCAGTACGAGATACTGCTCCAGCTTCTGCTGCACGCAGTTCATAAAAATTTTGCCAGCCAACATGACATGCACAAAGGCGAAAGGACACACGGCTCCTGATCCTTCCTGCGAGTGGGAAAGAGTCGGGACGAGGGGTCGAAAGAGAAATGCAGGAAGGTGGCATAAACTTTCGTCGCTTGTTAACCTGAAAGCTTCGCCGCCACTCCACTGACATTAGATGAAATTCAATTAAAACAAAGATATATTTCGTTGGACAAATTCCAGCAGGAGTTGTTTAAACCGGGGGGAAGGAATTCTTTAAAAAAAAGGTGACTTCCGTGCATTGTGTATACGCCCCATAAAACGCTTAATTAGAGCGAAAAGAAAACGGCACATAAACACTTGCTATTTGGGCGGTCTTTACCTTTCTTTGTAGAAAGTTAAAGTAAACTCTATGAAATGCTCCAAACCAGCTTATTTAAATTAAGTTTTTTTTAAATAAACGCAAGTCGTGGAAAGTAATTATTTAATTAATTAATTAGTAAGCCTGATTTCTTAATTACAAAAGTAAAAACGAACTCTAAATCGCATTTTACTACATCTGACTTTAAATACAAAATCTTAAAAACATATCGGCTAAATAAGCTTAATTAGAAAACTTTTTAATGCCTTTCAAAATTAGGTTAAAAACAAAAACTTTCTCAAATTGCGTATACGCCCCGTGAGAAGCTTAATTATTTGAACAAGAAAGCTGAATACATACACTTCCGGGTTGAACAGTTTTAAATATCATTTGGTGTATATTGAAATTGAAATTGACTCGTTTAAACGCCATCTCATTATTCATACTGTCCGCAAAAACCAGCTAATTTACGTTAAGCATTTTTAAATAAGGTCAAAGTGCAGGGTTGGCTGTGCGGTGGGTGTGGGAGTGGGTGGGGGGTGTTCTGGGGGTATTGGCCACGTTCAGCCAACTGAAAGTTGATCGAAACCGCAACAAATGACAAACGTTACGGGAAAAATACACAACACAGGAATACACACACATGACCAGAGAAAAAGGGGGAAAAACGGAGTAATAGGTAGAGGAGTAACACAGATGAAAAAAAATAAAATCAATGAAAATGAAAACCAATTAGCGGTTAACCAAACTGTTCAAATTTGGAAATGGATGCAGCCGTGCATGGCCATAAACAACAACGGCAACAAAGATGGCTGAAACGGAGGGAGATGGCAGATGAGTGATAGAGAGGTCAGTAGCAGCTAGGCTGAAAGGTAAAAGGTTGCTGGGGTTACAAATTTATTACGCCAAAATAGGAAATAATTAAAATCAGTCCAAACGCGGATACAATTTCGTTTGGAGTGAGAGAGAATTTTTTGTCTGATAAACTAAAGGCTATCGCTATACAAGAAGATACAAAATAATAACAAAAATTGTCGTATGATAGAAATATTAATATTTATTTAAAGATAAACAAAAAATTGTACCTTTTAAGCTTCAAACTATATTGTGTTTATTTGTTTAGCATCTAATTTATTCATATTGCTGATACTGATTTGGATGGATTTAAAAACGTATAATTTAACTTTGTATTTTTTCCATTTCCCATAAACTAGGAGTACTCTTTCCCAAAAAATAATGTATACTTAGCCCCAGAAAATAAGGATATCATTCAAATATCTTTCCACCACCTTTTGTGCACAACTCCTAAATAAATTACAACTCACCTGGATCTGCGCGTCGTGGGATCCTTCATGACCATAGCCTCTGAGATATCACCATAACGTCCGAAGTAATCGCGTAAGCTCTCTGGAAGAAAGATAAACAAATGCAGTGAATAATCAATCAAAGCAGGTTTATGAAATGTCCTGGGGTTACACTCAAGTACGGCCATCAAAATCACGACGCCAAAGTTACTAATTTCGTTACGCGCTTAATAAAAATACAGAAAAATAAAAGGGAGAAAAACGAATTTCGCGTGGTGCCCAAGTAAACAAACTGGTTGGGGGCCCAAAACTTCTTCTTTTCGATGGAGGAGGGTCTCCACAAAAACACCCCGATTCCACACCCTTTTGCATACGCAACTGGACATTATTCACATGCATACTCGCATAGTACACAGACAAAAATATTTTGAGGGTTTTATTAAATTTAAAAGCGTTAAAAACAGTTACAGTTGGCAACTTCTTATAAGATAATGATTTATTTCATTTTAGTAAATTTTATTTTTATTTACATGTTTTACATTTTCTGTAACTAAAATTTTTTTATCTATGCAATTTATATTTGTACATTATTTATTTATTTTTCTTACTCATTCATTATTATCACATTTAAAAGCGTTAAAAATAGTTACAGTTGCCAACTTCTTATGAAACTAAGATTTATTTCATTTTAGTAAATTATATTATTTTATTAAAATGTTTTACAATTTCTCTAACTAAAAATGTTTTATCTTTAAAATATTATATTTGTACATTATTTAAATTCATTTGTGAAACATCTAAGTTAAATTTGTTTACATATTATATATTTCTTTTTCTTATTCATTCAAAAGATTAGGGAATTATGGATCGACCACCCAAACTCCTATTTATAAGTTTAAGTAACCAAAGCGAATTTTAAATAATTCTTAGGTATTTCAGCCTTTTTTGTAGTATTTCTCAGTGTGTAAGCACACACAAAGCATACAGACCACTTCAGACTCGCTGCTTTGGTTGCCAGCGGCAGCTGTTGTCTGCGGTTTTGCGAGCTAATCTGACTCTGACTCCGGACGGAGGATGCGGATGCGAATGGAGGATGGTGGATGTAGCACGGAGGATGGAGGACGGGGGCGCAGGACTCCGCCCGGCTGGAAGCACTTCAGCGGCACGTACGCACACAAACGCAACACTGAAGTTATTTCAACAAAATTGCCAGACAAACGGGAAGGGGGCCGCACGACAGATACCAAGGCTCGTTGGCTGCGATTTAATGCAGCAAAAACAAGCAAAATAAAACCGATAAAGTCATCTCTCTCGCCCGTCGACTGCTGGCGGAGGAACCCTAATCCAGTCGAGTGTCGACGCTGGCGTCATAAATTCAAACTACAATAAAAATTCAATAAAACAAACGATTTTGCCGCTCGCGCCGCGTGGCCAAGACGCTCCGGCCATAAATGTGGTGCGAGAAATCGCACCAGGGAACCAGCAGCACCACTACCCCACCACCCCATCACCACACCACCCCATTTCAGAAATCGCAGCACCACCAGCACACACGCACCAAAAACAGAGCTAGAGCCACTAGTTGCGCCTTGTGTCGATGCAAAATGCCACACTTAAACAAAATAGTTAAGGCACTCAAGCTCTGTTTACTTTAATAGTGAAAGTAACAGGAAGACTAAGAAAGGTAGAAGTTATTTTCCATATATTGTAGTTATAACCTTAATTTTCATAGGTTTTTTCTACAATATCCGAATTTGTATTTGTATAAAATGTAAAATTTGGAAATGTGTTAATTAAATTTGATTAACACTTAAAATATCTTAGAAGATTTATGGGCTGAAGTATAAGTCTTAAATACTTTTTCCCATATTTTCCAAGTACAACTAAATGGTACATTTTCAATTTTCTTAACGTATTTATTAAATTGTATTAAATCCAAATTATTTTCTAGTTAATAAAAATAATTTGTATGAAATCTGGGTAAAGATATGAGTCTAATTTATCTCCAATTTCTATGAGTGCAGAAGGGGTATGAAAGGGGTAGGGAAATGGGGTGGAAAATGGGTGGTTAGGGTGCGGATGGTTCCACACACAAGCAGACAGTCAAGTGGGGGCAATGCAACGCGAAACGCGAAGCGCGTCGCGTGATTTACATAAGTATGCACAATAATTATGAACAATAAAAAACAATTTGTTTGCTTATGACAGTTTTGGAACCATAAATAACAACAGCAACTGGCGCAGTGGTTCGAGTGGCATGTGGATGTGGAAAATGGGATATGGTGAGGGGAAATGGGAAATGGGAAAGCGGGGGCGAGCAGAAATGTGTGCGTGTGTGGCATGCAAATTGATGGGGCAGGCAAAGGGTTGCGTTCCATTTCGTTACGTTCGTTGCGTATGTGTATGTGGCGCTGCAAAGTATGCTACACTTTAAGTTTTAATGGGCAATTGCCTCTCTATGTTCGTGGGCGAGGGGCTGCGGTGGGGGGGTGCCACTATTCTATGGCATGACTTGGCCATTAGTTGAAGTTGAGGTGTAAATAAACCAGTTGGAATAACCCCCGCTCCACGCCTGTGATTGAGTGGGTCACGGGAAATGAAAACTCGCAGGTCATTTGTTACCGTCGGTCATGAAGTTATAACGCCATTTGTTAAGGGTTTCCTATCGAATCCATCTGTATTTTCATATCAATGTATTTTTAATTTACTCAATTCTTTTTTATTCAATTTAACCATTTTTTGATCCATGTTAAGTGGCCATCTGGTCATTAATAAATACAAAAGCGCTCATAGCTATTAACTATAGTCTATTTTATATAACAATTATTTAATACGGCATTGAATGAGCTAATAATATGGTAATATTATTAATATAAGAACGCAAATCATAATTTCTATTAGGGTTTTCACTTCTTTTAATGTTCTTTCTAATTGAAAAATTTTTATATTTTCAAAAACAAAAAACAGCTTGACTTTTACCTACCAAAAAAAAATCCCTAAATATCACGTTCTCCAATCGTAATGCCACTAGGTGCTACTAAATTTAAATGTGTTCCCCAATTACCTGCCACTTGCAATCTGTTTAAGAGTCTAGATTTCTGATTTACATCCCCCACTCATATCTCAAATCTGATTTCCGGTGAAATGCCGAAATAAAGTCATCATCAACGTGTCAATCAGTGTGCTATATCTCACTTTTGCAGCACACAATATTTCAGACATGGAGCATACCTTTCCGCCCAATTAACCCCTTCGCCGTTTCTCACAGTGCACCGACCCCCTCCCCGTTTTGAAACCCCCTCCCCCTGGCTGTCATCCAATGCGACGTTCAGTTTTGAGTGACAGCTGCAAAGTTTGTTTTGCATTTCATATTTGCGAGCTCGTCTGCAGCCCCCCCGCAAAACCCCCTTTCACCCTCTTTTTGGGAGAACTCAGTGCCAACTGTCACTTGACCGGCCAAAGCCCGCCTCCCTGCCACGCCCCCGCCCCAAAACCAACATGGCCAATAGAAAAGCTGGCAAACAAAATAAATGTGTAAATGTGAAGAAGCAAAAAACTGGGAACAAAAAAAGAAAGGGAAATGGTCAACAAATTAAAACGCGGCAAAATAAAAATAAAATTAAAATTTATTTGCTACCCAACGGTTGGGAAAAAATAAAAATAAAATAAAATACACATAACAAAAACGGAGGGGCGATGAAAGGAAGGACGAAAGGAGCAGCGACAAGAGCGAAATATATTGTAACGGGCCAAAAGCCAAACTTGGATTTAATTAAAATGTTTACCACAGTCATTTCATTTTCATAGCCAGCAAACATAAATTTTGAAGAGGAAAAGCGTGTGCGAGTGAGAGGCCCCAGGACCGCAGAGCGAAACAGCTGCAAGAAAATGCCAAAAACATTAAAGTTACCACACCATACTAACGGAAAAGTGGAAGTTTTGATTGTTGCATTTTTGGTTTGGGGCAAAGAACAATAAGCGATAAACAAAATAGGTTCAATCTGGAAGAGAAAATGGATTTGCAGGTAATTAGTTCAAGCAGGCACACACACACATACACAGACAAGCACACACAATCCAAGACCAAATTTATCCCGAATCCATTTAGTGGGATTATTTATAAGAAAACTCCCATTCCACCAAAGGCAATCCGTTTTGCGGTTGCAGGCATATTAACCCCTTAACGTCCTGGCAGGCCTTAACCCCTCCATGGCCCACCACCCCCCAGAAGGTCCCCAATAGGCCACCGCACATGTTGTCAAAAGCACAATGCTGAAACCATAAATTTATGTGCTTTCTATTGTTTTTGCCAAAGAAAGCGGAAGTTGTGTGCTCTCTGCGGTGAGCTGAGGGGTTGGCAGGGGGGGCGGGCTGGGTGCTGGAAAATGGGGGAAAACTACAGAGCAGCAAAACAGCAACAAAAACCAGAGTGAGTGAAAAAGGTGTGCGCAAAGGGATTTCAATCAATTGTGAGGCGAACTGAGGCAACTGGCAGCCAGAGCAACAAAAACTAAAGCTCAGCCTCTGTTCCGTTCGGTTTAGCTCTGCCCTAACCTACACTGACAAAAAAACTATACAAATAGAGAATTAGCTTGTAAGTTAGAACAATAAGATGTTCTATTTTTAACAGAACTGCTGGCTTTCTGTTTAAGGGAAGAAAACTGCTTTAGTTTCAAATATTTTTAATTAAATTATAGGCAGTACTTTTATTGTAAAAGTGGAAATGAAAGATTTGTATAAATTTGCAAAATACGAGACTAACTAACACTTTTTTGCTTTTGGTATTGTAGTTGAATAATGTATCTTAAACCTCAAAACTATTAATTATTTCCTAATTAGAAAGTAAACCACGATTTGAAATCCCTATTTGTTTGCCTCAGCGTATCGTTTTGTTGGAAAACGCAAATTGCTATTTTGTCTGAACAGCAAACGAGATGGCAATTCACTGGAAGACAAAGATGCACGAAACGAGGCAGAAAGAGATAGGGCCATAGGCCAAGAGAGAGACGGGTAGATGGACCAGTAGAGCCTGTTGTAACACATCCCGGTCGTAGCATCATTTTTCATGCGCTCCAACAACTTTTGACAAAGGTCGGTCAAGCA